CATGAATTCTGCAACCCCCCCCTCATTTGGTTGAAATGGAGATCATTAACAAATCACAGATAGCTAATTATCTTTGTGCAGAACAAAATAATATCCAAACGAGAGTTAACTGAGCCTTGAAATAAAATTATGAGTAAATTATTTGTAAAAATGTTCAAAATAAATTACAAATAACAGTGGGAAGATTAAATCAAAAGTTTTGCCCAGATTGGCTGCATTTGTCTCAAATTATGATTTAAAGAATAGTAGATATCATTAAAGAATTGTAAGGTCATCAGAATACATAATCTGAGGCTCAAATAATGTGGGCTGCTAAAATGCTACTTTCTGTGGGCTGAAACCACATGGGAGGCCTGAGTTCGATTCCAGACCCAACCTAAAGACTGAGCACAGTGATGTGTTTCAGCAGTTTTAGCAACTCAGGGAAACTGAGGATGCTCAAGCGTGACCTGGACAACAGCGAGATAATGTCTGAAAAAACTGGGCATGGTTGCTTACCTGTAGTCTCAGCTGAGATGCTGAGGCAGGAGGGTGGAGACAGCAAAATCCTGCCTAAGAAAAGAAAAAAAAAAAGAATATATAACCTGAGAATAAAATATTTCCATTCAAATTGATTCCACCTAGCAAGATATAAAAAAGACACTGAATGAAAAGCATTATGAGATAGAGCAATTACCATTTAGTTCATTTTGGAAATCTATAACAAACTATCTCTCATAACCACCCAATTGAATCTTTTAAAAAAATTAATTTATTACTTTTTATTTTTTAAATGTTCTTTTATATATTCAATCTTAATTTCAATATGCTCATTTTTGTCGGTGAGCAGGTGTTGTGGAGGTTAAGGAGCTGGATCCCACAAGGCCAACCACGGTTGAGTCTAGACTGAAAGCTGTAAAAATACACCCAGGCAGGTATGTGTGCATGCCGAAAATCCCCAGGGGAGAAAGGAGGAGAAAGGATTCCCATGTGGCCATCCCTCCAAGGTGTAATTTCTCAGTATTCATCTCTTTCTCTCTGTCTCTTTCCAGTGAGTGCATGTGCTCTATAGCAAACTAAATAAACAAAAAAAAAAAGCTTCATTTTCAGTGTGAACATGCCCATTTGTCTGCTTCATCATGGTCATAAAAGGATGCAACATAAAGACATTTAAATACTTTCAGCAATATATGCCTACATTATTATTGATCTGTTAACAACATATAACTCAATCTTTTAAGATTTCATAAGTGACTCAATGTCCATTCAAAATATCTCTTATACTCTGCTTTTTTTCTAAACTTGGAGCAAGTTATGCTTTTTTTCTTTTTCTTTTTTTTTTTTTTTTAGAATTATTTTGTTAACTTTATTTATTAGTTAGTTTAATTTGACTAGAGAGGGACAGAGAGAAATAGAAAGAGAAAGCAAGAAAGGAAGCCACCAGGTTCAGGATTTAAACCATGGTTGGTCATGTGGAGCCTAGTGCCTCAACCACCACACCTCTTGCTGGCCGGCCCCAAGCAATATATATTTAAAATGTTAAACCAAAGTCAACATTTACCCATATTCAAATATTAGTCCGAATTTTGATACTTGCCTCTCTTTGTAGCAGATATAATTTTTCTTCCTTCTACTCCTGTTTTCCACTGTATTTATATAGTTTACACTGTTTGTTTGTATATTTGAGTTCAATTTTCTTCATTTGACACTGTGTCTGGCTTAAGTATCTATCTACTTGCTCTAAAGCCAAAGTGTGTTCTCTAAGAGCTTCTCTTGTGTGAAGGAGTTCAATTTGCAAGCTATTGAGCTTACTTTTAGTTTCAGAAAGTTGTTGAGAGAGACGCTCATTGTTCTCTTTCAGGTTTGAGGCATCTAAATTGATTTTCTCATTTGAATGAAACCACTCCTCTCGTGCTCTCTCAAAAGCAAGTTCTAGGTCTCTTTTTGATGTCTGATCACGCTCTTGTATAGCAGCAGCCAGTCTAGCACGGTATGACTCAACTTCAGATTCCAGTCTCTCCTTCTTTTTCTTTTCACTCTCCAGTTCAGAATTTAGCATTCTCAGTTGACAGAACAACCAGCCGTCCACTATAACAGGCTATTGGCTATTGTTTGTCCTATTGTTGCCTCATTCTGTTTTATTTTCTTTTGAAGGTCGTCATTCTTTTCCTTTAGAATTTGAATGTCCTCAACATATTTCTTTTCCCTTTTTTGGATATGATTTTTTTTATTGTTTTCATTTTAAGTCTTAGTGTAGCAATTTCATTCTCCAACTTGCAATTGTGATCCAGTAGATCTTTTTTCTCTGTCACGGCTATCAGAAATCTAAGTAAAATCAAGGAGACTTTTTGGCTAGTATTCAGTAAAATGACATATATTAATTTCTTCTGAAATTAAAAAATAATCTGCATGCTTATACAGTCTTAAGTGTTACAATAGTGTATATTTATTTGAGCAAAATTTGGACATAAAACTCAAGCCTTATAAAAACATAACTCCCCAAAGTTCAAAAATTTAATTGAAGACAACGACTCTCTGAACATAAAAAAGAAACCATGAGAAAATGTTTAAGTATCTCAACAAAACCAGAGCCAGCAAGTGGCATAAAGGTGAAAGAAGCTGGATCCCACATAGCCAACTCCATGATTCAAGTACCAGGCCTACTGTCTTGAAAATCACACAGGGTATGTGTGTGGGCATGCCAAGATCTCAGGAGGGAGAATGGAAGATGAGGGATTACAACATGGCTACCTTGCTCTTCACTGTCCCTCTCCAGTGAGAGTAAAAACCTTAAAAGAAAAGAAAAGAAAAGAAAAAAGGAAAGGAAAGGAAAGGAAAGGAAAGGAAAGGAAAGGAAAGGAAAGGAAAGGAAAGGAAAGGAAAGGAAAGGAAAGGAAAGGAAAGGAAAGGAAAGGAAAGGAAAGGAAAGGAAAGGAAAGGAAAGAAAAGAAAGAAAGAAAAGAAGGAAGGAAGGAAGGAAGGAAGGAAGGAAGGAAGGAAGGAAGGAAGGAAGAAAGGAAGAAAGAAAGGAAGGAAGGAAGGAAAGAAGGAAGGAAGGAAGGAAGAAAGAAAGGAAGGAAGAAAGGAAGAAAGGAAGGGAGAAAGGGAGAAAGGGAGAAAGGAAGAAAGGGAGGAAGGGAGGAAGGGAGGAAGGGAGGAAGGGAGGAAGGGAGGAAGGGAGGAAGGGAAGGAAGAAAGAAAGAAAGAAAGAAAGAAAGAAAGAAAGAAAGAAAGAAAGAAAGAAAGAAAAGGGAAAGGCAACAACTATTAAAGGGAAGCAGTCTTGGGGCCTGCAAGTGGCTTGCTGGTTAAGGTGCTGGACATGGCCAACTGCAGTTTGAGTCCCAGACGCAGATGCTTGCTTTATCACTTTCTCTTTCTCTCTCTCTCTCTCACTCACTCTTTCACTCTCTCACTCTCTCTCTGGTGAGCTCACATGCCCCAATAGCAAATTAAAATAACAATAAATTAAATTAAGTAAACAATTCTTTTTTTAAAATGAGGGAGCCTATCTAAGCACAAGGACCTTTATCCCATATGTCTTAACTCTAATTTTAACTGCATAAAATAACAGCTACATTTGTCTAAGAGCAAAATAGTTCTTAAATACAGATTAATGTAGTCTGATGAAATAAATTTATTTTATAAAACATTTAGCTGGATTTATTATACTTTCAAATTTTCTCAATTCCTATAATATTTAGATAATTTATTTTCTAACAATACCTCTTTCTTTTCTTTGGATGTTGTCTTTGTACTCCTAGAATAAAATAAATAAATAAGTAAAACTTTCAGGCAAATATTAAATAAGATACAGAGAATACATCAATCTTTTTTTTTTAAAGGTTTTTGACATAGGGGGTGTGGTGTGTGCTTCCCAGAGAGACAGAGAGGAAAGTGAGAAATCACCCTCCCCCCAGGGAAGATGGCCATGCTGCAACCCCTTATCCTCCTGGAATTTTGGAGATGTACGCACACACTCCGGGAGCTATTCAAGTCACTGGGTCTATGAAGCAAACCACAGTCAGCCATGTGGAAGTCTAGGGCCTAGTCTTGATGCCACCTGCTGGTCCCTAAAAATCTATTTTTAAAATAAAAATCTATTAAAGAAAGAAAGAAAGAAAGAAAAGGGAAAGGCAACAACTATTAAAGGGAAGCAGTCTTGGGGCCTGCAAGTGGCTTGCTGGTTAAGGTGCTGGACATGGCCAACTGCAGTTTGAGTCCCAGACGCAGATGCTTGCTTTATCACTTTCTCTTTCTCTCTCTCTCTCTCACTCACTCTTTCACTCTCTCACTCTCTCTCTGGTGAGCTCACATGCCCCAATAGCAAATTAAAATAACAATAAATTAAATTAAGTAAACAATTCTTTTTTTAAAATGAGGGAGCCTATCTAAGCACAAGGACCTTTATCCCATATGTCTTAACTCTAATTTTAACTGCATAAAATAACAGCTACATTTGTCTAAGAGCAAAATAGTTCTTAAATATAGGTAAATGTAGTCTGATGAAATAAATTTATTTTACAAGACATTTAGCTGGATTTACTAGACTTTCAAATTTTTTCAATTCCTATAATATTTAGAGAATTTATTTTCTAACAATACCTCTTTCTTTTCCTTGGATGTCGTCTTTGTATGCCTAGAATAAAATAAATAAGTAAAACTTTCAGGCAAATATTAAATAAGTAAAATACAGAGAATACATAATTTTTTTAAAGGTTTTTGGCACAGGGGGTGTGTGCTTCCCAAGAGACAGAGAGGAAAGTGAGAAATCGCCCCCCAGGGAAGATGGCCATGCTGAAACCCCTTATCCTTCTGGAATTTTGGAGACGTACACACACATTCCTGGAGCTATTCGAGCCACTGGGTCGATGAAGCAAACCACAGTCAGCCATGTGGAATTCTAGGGCCTAGTCTCGATGCCACCTGCTTGTCCCTAAAAATCTATTTTTAAATATAAAGTGTCTACACATAATTATTTCCTATATTTATAAGGTTCATAGGCAATTTAAAATACAGTACTTTTCTATGAGAAGGGTTAACCAATAAACACTAAGAGCAACATTAAAAAAGAAAGAAAGAAAGAAAAATAACTAAGGGGTCAGCAGGTGATATCGTGATAAACTTGCTGGACTTCCACGTGACTGACCACGGTTAAGTCCCAGATAAGAGGCTTGAAAATCACATAGGATCGTGTGTGTACATGCTCCAAATCCCATGAGAACTAAAGAGAAGGGATTGTGGGATGGCCATCTCTCTGTGGGAAAATTTCTCCCTTTTCCCTCTATTAGGGATTTTTTTTTTTTTTTAAGTTTTGGTTTTTGGGTTTTTTTTTTTTTTTGGTCATAGGGCACGTGTGCTTGCCAGAGAAAGGTAGAGAGAAGAAGAGTGAGAAATCACCTCCCAAGAGAGATGGCCATACTATAATCTCCTCTCTTATATTCTGCTCTTGGAATTTTGGGCACCCACACAAACATGTCTGCAGTGATAGTCAAGGCCGAGCCTAGGACTAACACCACAGTCAGCCATGTGGGAGTTTAGTTTAACCTCCAGCAAGTGGCATAAAGGTGAAAGAGGCTGGATTATTTTTAAATATAAAATATCTACAATTATTTTTTCTCCAATACATAAGATGTGTAGGTAATTTAAATTACAATACTTTTCTCTAAGAAGGTTTAACCAATAAACACAACGAGCAACATGAAAATATTTGGTCATGGGTCAGAAGGTGGTATAGTGGTTAAGGTGCTGAACTACCAACATGGCTGACCAAGGATCAAGTCCAGATCCCGAGGCTAAAATATCACCTGAAAAGTATATGCATATATGGGCCCAAAATCCCAGTGAGAGGCCATACCCCTGTAGTGTGATTTCTCACTTTTCCTGCTCTGGTTTTCTCTATGTCTCTCCAATGAGTAAAGGTATCTTGTGGAAAAAAAATTAAAATTAAAATTAATTAACAAGAAAAGAAAATATACTAATATTACACGGAATAAATATAGGCCAAGCTTTCTCATAGTGCAAGGCAAAGGAATAACCAAATACTTGCACTATCTGAGAGAAGGAAATATACCAGGTTTGTTATTTTTAGTTTCAATAAAAACAAGATTAACTGGCACTAAAAACTATTTGGCAAGAGGTGGAGGCAGAGGAGGCCAAGGTGGATTTGGTGGCAGAGGCCGAGGAGGCTTTGGAGGGCGAGGTGGCTTCTGAGGAGGCAGAGGAGGAGGAGGAGACCACAAGCCACAAGGAAAGAAGACGAAGTTTGAATAGTTTCTCTGTCCCTCTGTCTTCCTCTTCCATTTGAAAGAAAGGACTCTGGGGTTTTTACTCTGTTACCTGATCACTGACAGAGCCTTCTGAGGACATTCCAAGACATTGTGCAGTCCTGTGGTCTACTTGGAAAGCCGTAGAAATAACGTTTCAAGGGAGATACTCTTGTTGGTTTTGACTGGATATTCACATAAAATTTTAAAGAGAAAAAAAAAACTATTTGACAACTATTATTTAATCTTGTATGATACAAATTAGCATTTTTCAGGACTCATGCATCATTCTAAGCACAGGATTACTGGTGCATATTCTAGGCACTATACATGTTGTCATGTCCCTTTAATCCTCACAACGATTCTGTGAATCAAGTAACATAATAGTTACTTTACTAAAGAAGAAACTAGGCAACAAAATGAAAAGTGACTTGCTAGACTGCAGAGCTGTTCTGTAGCAGACTCAGAATTTGACCCAGGAATTCAAGTTCCAAAAACTCTGCTTCACAATATATCAGATGAATATTTCTTTTGACACCCCTGTAAGTGATATGATACCACATGAACTCATATGACTAAACCCTTTCTACCTGTAACTATAAATAGTAATTTCTGAACCTCACCATGTTTATTTTTAGATGGGTCAGCAGGTGCCATGGAGGTAAGGGTGCTCGATCCTCCATGACTGACCATGAGGTCTGAGTCCAGGAAAATTTCCTTGAACATCACACCAGGTATATGTGTGTGTGTGTCTGAAATACCAACAGGAGACAGGATTGCAGCGTGGCCATCCACCCTGGAAAGACAGGTGATTCCACACTTTCCTTCTCTCTCTCCCATTTGTGATCCATCTCTCTCTGGCAAGGTCACGCACTCTATAGCAAAAAACAGCAAAAGAAATTCTAGTAATGAAAAGACTTTATAGGCATAAAGAAATGCATCAACAGACATTCATCTGTTTAACTATCATTTCAGGCATCCAACAAATATTCACTGAATACATAATAAAGGTAAATGACACTACTGGTACTGGTACTGGGAAACATCCATTTTTAACCTCGAGAACTTAATAGATGGAAAATAACAATCTGTGACAGTTTATCTATAGTTTAGTTTTCTATTGTACATGAATAAAACCTGCCCCATTCACCAGATTTTAAACAACTTTTTAGGTCAATATCACTGATATTTCAGAGCATCTTACAATATCCTAGCTAGTCAAAGATACTGTCAGACACACATTAAGGGGATAGAATTCCATTCCACCTAGGGACCAGCAAGTGGTGTGGACTTCAAGGCACTGAATCCCGTGTGACAGTTAGTGCTGTTCAAGACCTGGTCCTGGCGCCTCAAAGAATACACTGGGCTTGTTGCGTGCATGCCCAACATTCTGTGAGGAGACTGTAGAAGTGACTGTGGCATTGCCATTTCTCCCAGAGGATGTCTTCTCACCCCCTATGACCACACTTCTCTCTCTCTCTGGAGAGCACATATGCCATACCAAGGGGTAAGAAAGAAACTAAAAACATAAATTCCACTGGGCCTTCCTTCAGTGTTGGCATGATTTTTATTACATAGTTTAAGAACAATCTGTGCAAGATAGCTCAACTTTTCAATCATCATTTAGATGCTGAAGAATATTAGAATATTCCATTTCTCAAGTAATTCTTTTTTTTGTTTTGAGAGAGAGAGAGGTTTTTACTATAAGGCATGTGTATTCACCAGAAAGACAGAGATAGAGAGGCAGAAAGTGAGAAATCACCCACCAGGGGGATGGCCA